TAGAAATCAATGACGCTTGTAGTCTGGTGGGCACTGAAAAAGTGATGGTGGAATGGTGGTGTATCTGAGCAAACCTAGGGCATTTGAGAGAAGGGATGGAGACAACTTCTAAAGGTCTGTGCAAATATCCTTGAAAAATAGAAGGGAGAGGAGGAAGAACCACAGATGAGGCAATTGTCAAAGAAGAGGCAGCTGAGCTTGCAGAAAGAATGGGAGCATGGCCAACTTCTCAAAAGGGATCCTCCGTAGTTTCTTGAACTGCATTGTAAAGGCAAGCTGAGAGAGATAATACATTCAAACTTGCAAGATTCTGTTACTGTACTCATGGTTAGTGCTTCTAGTTTGGACTTTGAAAGGGCTGACACAACCTCTTTGACTGCCCTTTTCCTGTGAGAATATTAGTGGAAGTGGGAAAGAAGATTAGAATGGAAGAAGAATGAAAGAAAACTCAGTATTCACACTCGCAACCTTTTACAATCGAATTTCATGTCATATCATTCATTTAAACAACGTTTGAATCTGTGACATCTATTTCTTCCTTTTTTTCCTAATATAGTTCAGAGCTACATTAATAGCTCTGAACTAAATCTTAATTTGTTTTACTACTGCATAGTTTATTGAATAAACAGTAATTACTGATATGATATCAAACACTAAGCCATATATACCATGATTTTTTTTTTCTTCCATTCAATTCTTGGTTACTGCCTGGACAAGTCCCTGCCGTTTTCTTGGCAGTTTTTCAGAAGTGATTTGCCATTGCTTCCTCACTAGGGCTGAGAGAAAGTGACTAGCCCAAGGTCAGCATTATATACCAACCTAATAAATGGCTTCACATTTACATACTATTAAATATAGTGTATGCAAGGGTAAACAATGAAACATAGTCCTCAAAAGCAGAAAAATAGCCATCTTTGTGCTCAGCCAAAATGAAACAACCCATATCCTGGTTTAGCATATTATGTGAAGCAAGCTTGTGTTCATTTTGCTAAGCTTCATATAATATATTTGCACTAGATCTTAGAATTGGCACTTGGTGAATTTCTTGTTGAGAAGAGGACAGATCAGGGAGTTCATGATTCATAACTCAGATACTTTCCCCCTACGTGTTAGTCCTCTCATAATTAAAAAAATAGAAGGATGAGACCTATTAGATGATTTGCAAATTTCTTTAGGAGGTGATCACAGCCTTTGTGCCCACAGTCATAAGGAAAATTGGATGATTAAACCCAAAATATTAAAGAGCTTGAGTGAACCCTGAAGCTGGGAGCATGGCCAATCTGTATTATATCATTAGAGTGAAGTAACTAACTTATTAACATTAGTTTTTATTATTTTTAAATCTTTTCAGGTGCTTATAACATGAAAAAAAAATTAATTACATTGGTCAGGATATAAATTTTTTTGCTGGGCAATACAAACTGAATGTTTTGGGGTCCTACAGATCAAATGTGTTCATTTAAAGCAGGGGTGTCAAACTGCCAGCCCATAGGCCGGTTTCATCATACTGAAGCTGCACCTACCCCATTGCCGGCAATAGAAAAAAAGTCACAATACATCGTGACACGTCACATGACATATCATAAGGTGACCAACCGTCCTCCTTTTGGAAGGACAGTCCTCCTTTTTTGAGTTCTGTCCTCCCTTGAAAAGTGTCCTCCTAAATGTCCTCCTTTTCCATATACCGTCCTCCTTTTGGGAGGACAGTCCTCCTTTTGTGAGTTCTGTCCTCTCTCGAAAATGTCCTCCTAAATGTCCTCTTTTTGACGACTAATCTGCAGGGCTTTGTTTCCTCATAGAATGCTCAGAAGGCGTTCCAGGACCTTTTTTAAATTTTTTTTTCAACTTTTGCATCTACTCCCCCTATTGGCTTTCGAAAGCCAATAGGAATTGCTGCTGAGCACGCCAAAACACCCGGGTGGCAAACTTTGCACGTGCAAGTTGCAGGAACTTGCACCCCTCACTGCTACCCAACTACACGATCTCCTACTTCTTAGTTCCAAAGATAGCTGGAGGAGACTGGAGCGGTAAGTTTCACTTGATCTTCCCTGTTCAGTTCTACGCGGGGATACACAGGGTAGGCGGTGGTGCTGGGGGGCGGCTGGGGGGGGGTGGCTGCAGGACCAGAGCTGGCGCAGCTGGTGCTTTGCAAGCCACGGGGCCGGCTCTACGGGGATGGGCAGGGGGGGCGGTGGTGCTGGGGGGTGGTGGTGCTGGGGGGCGGCTGCAGGGCCGGAGCCGGCGCGGCTGGTGCTTTGCAAGCCGTGGGGCCGGCTCTACCGGGATGCGCAGGGTGGATGGTGGTGCTGCCCCAGCAGCTGGGGGGCGGCTGCAGGGCCAGAGCCGGCGCGGCTGGTGCTTTGCAAGCCGCGGGGCCGGTTGTACGGGGATGGGCAGGGGGGGCGGTGGTGCTGGGGAGAGGCTGCAGGGCCGGAGCTGGCGCGGCTGGTGCTTTGCGAGCTGTAGGGCCGGCTCTCCATGGCAGGGCAGCAGTGCTGGCGGGGCGGCTGTGGGCGGGGGCGCGGCGGGCAGTTGACCTTCCATGGGCTGCGCCAGCTGGTGGTCTACGCAGTGCTGACCTGCACTGCCACCATCTCACCCTGCGCATCTACATGGCCATCCTGGAGCGCCTGGCTCACAACACCTGCCTCCGCCGCCCACCCCCGCGCAGTCCAGCCGTGTAGATTTTTGGACAAGTGAGAAATCGAGATTGAATATTGATACTCTAGCTGCAGCACTTGCCGTAAAATTCAATATGAAGGATATTTCTTGTTCAGATGTTTCCAATATATTGTTAGAAAATGATACATTGACAAAAAATATTCATTCAATGGAAAAGTACTCATTTAAATAATTAATAGGCATGTAAGCATAATTACAATATAAAATGTTATTGTTACAAATGTTTTTTATTATGCATTTATCATATTATAGTGTATTCTGTATTATTGTTGCAATAAATACAATGTTTCTTTTATTTACAATATTTTTTTCTTAAATTTATTCGTGTCCTCCTTTTTGTTGTAAAAAAGTTGGTCACCTTACATATCAAGTTTGACACCTGTGATTTAAAGCATGGATGCATAACTAATGCATCCACTTCAGCTGCTACTGATTTCCAGGTATTGAATTAAAAATGAACTTAGTGGCTTAAAAACTAGAAAAAGGGAAAGAAATAGGAAAGAATATGAGGAAATAGACTTTTTGGGTGTGATGTTTTTTCTCTGGATGAACCCACATTCTTCTTGTCTATTATTTAGATTTGCTTATTTAAGCCCTGATATTCATAGCATTTGATGATAGGGCATTTTCTATTGGCCTTGGAGCAGTTCCTGTTCTAATCAGTTCTCTGGAAGGTCATGTTGTCCAGTCATGTTTATTAAGGAGGTTTGGACTTTGCCATATCCTTCTGTATCTTGCTCTCTTTAAGTTTTAACTAACATTGTTCAGTGAACATTGAGTGACACGTTGAGATCAATCAAGAAAATTCATCTCTGGTTTAGAATCATATCCACAAAATATTGCAAGCAATTTATATAGTTGAAAAAAGCTGTGTCAACTTGTTTTTAGTTATCACTTAGAAAATGTTTTAAAGGATTGGGATATTTGTTTAAGATCAGGCAGCTAATCAGAGGACAAATGGCTTAAAAGTAAGAATGAACATTCCTGCATAGTTAGGACTCTGTTGGGGCTTATTTTTCTTTATCTGATTATGATGCCATTGTGTAAATATCAGTTTGTGATATAATCCTATCAGAGTTAAACACTGGTAAGTATCAGTGATTTCCAGAAGTTAGATTATGCATTCTTCCCACAAAAATTGCTAAACACAGGGTGTTTTGTCCAAAGTTATTATCTTCAAATGCAAATAAGTGGTTAGAATTTAAAATAAATCCAAACATATTCAAAACATCAAGCAAGTATATGTTAATATGTTACTTGCATAATTTATGGGAACAACAGTCAGTTATGGATAAAAACCTATTTGAAAATACACTGAAAGAGTATATAAAAGACAGACAAGAAAAGCTGGATGGACAACCACTCATATCTAAGATTGATTTGAAAATAGTATCACAGCAGGAGAAGCTGTGGTTTTTTTTATAAAAACTACATTTTTCTCAAAGCTATTTTGAAAAACTCAGTTAAACTTTGAAATATATGTTAAGTACATTTTCAGGTATTTGGTGAGTATAAATGTTTGGATTGGCAGAAAATTGTGTATTTATCACTGAAGCACATTTTTAATCCTCTTTCAGGCATTGGTAATAAATGTAGTTTTATTATGAATATATCAACATTGGTACCATTTCTCTCCTTCAATTATCAAGAGTCACTTAGGATTAATTAGGTACTCTAGCATATAGTATAGAGACATCATGAAAAGAACTATAGGGCAAACTTTTATTTGTTTTCCTTCACTGTAGATTTTATTATTTTTTATTAGTTTAGAATAAGGGCCAGCTATATCTCTAAATACATTTTTTAATATGTAACTAAAGAAAGGTGTTCAGAGTTAGAATACAAAATAGGAATATAATTTCTGTCAGATTCTAAACCTGCTATTTCAGTGCTTTTGATATGCATGCTTTTAATTACACTGGTATCTTTTAATTATTTCTCAGATGTGCATCTAGGCTCATAGTAAAACGCTGAATAATGCTCATCATACAGTTTATACAACAAAAGAGAAAAGATTAATCCTTCAAAACTTTCAAAAATTACCTGGCAGTGTATCAAAATAATTGTTCCTTTCTTTCTCCCATTCAATGATCAAATTATATATTCAGTAACAAAATATACAAGGACACATTTGATCTTGTAAATGATAGCGGACTCTTCTTTCTGAAGCAAAATGACAAAACTGGCCATAAATATCAAAATATATTCTGTGAGAGCAAGAGAAGTTAGTGCTTTGTTAAATATAAACAGCTAAGAAAGAATTAAATGCATCTGTTTCAGTTCATAAAAGGCAAAACTCTCCCATTTTATTATTCAAGGTGTTCCTCATTTCACTGTTGAGCCAAAAGACAAGTCAGTTATCCCTGGTGCGCCTTTCCAGATGGCTTGTGCTGCAGTAGGACCACCTGAGCCAGTGACAATTGTCTGGTGGATGGGTGATTCCAGGCTTGGACATCCAGACATCTCTCCCTCCACTCTAAATGTGTCAGGTAAGACTTCTTCCTTTGATAAATAAAACTATCCATACAGGAGTAAGATGGCTAATGGGGCAAAGGTATAAACAACAATAATACCCAGTTTCTGGCCCAATGTAAGATTTTGTGTCAGATATGTTAAAAAGAGGGAAAACAACAACAACTCACCAAAGGCTACAACAGTCTCTAAAATTTCTGAGATAATTCAAAAACAAATATACATTTCTCTCTCCCTACATCCCAGTATTTTTTGGCAAGATTTTCCTCCCAAAATTGTTTATTGTTTGTAATAGCTTGTATAAATGCTTCTGTTTTCTACAAAATATCAAAAGTCCACTATGTGCATCAGCTTGTAGTAGGTGAAAGAAAACATGATTGAAGTTAACAATATTGGGGAAATGGCCCACACTGAAAAATGATGTGCAGTTGATGGAACCTTGTTAAAATCCTTGGATTTCTTTATTACTTTTAATTTTCAAAAAAATAATACCACAAAAGTAAATACTATGGAGATTAAGCAATTACCACCTAGAACTTTGAGATCTTCAAGACAAATTTAAAGATATATCTGTAGTGAATATTTTTCCTATGTTTAGGAGCAAATAAAAGACATTCTAGATTTAAAACAAAATAGGAGACCTGCAAAGGAGAATTTCCTGTTGATATTTATAGTATATTAAAACTGAAAGGAAGTATTGCTTCCTCAAACAGATATATATATATATATGTGCTTGGAAAGCCCTTAAATAAGCCCTAACATGCCTTGTTTCATTGCCTGTTCTACACAAACACTAAGGAGGAAGTGAAAGGATCAGATGAATCTACTAAGTTCTTATAAAAAGTTATAGTTCCTTAGGCATACAAGAACAAAGGCATATGAGGAAGGGAGAAAAGCCTGGCATCAGCAGGGAAGAGCACAGAAATGCTAAAAGAAAGTAATAATAGACCAGGAAGACAGTGGGGTGGGAAGAGGCAATGCTTTCAGTGATTACACTGATTTATATTAAAAAGTTGATTACCTTTTCAGGGCATAGTCTGGCTTTTCTGTTTAAATCTTCCTATACCTGGAAGATATTGGGGACACGCTAGGTGTTGTCTGAAAGAGCAACAAGAATATTTTCCTTTTTTAATCGATGTAAAATATGCAACTTTGAGGTTTTGTAAGAAGCTTTTAAAACTTGTTGACATCTCCTCATTCATCTTTTGATCTACTCCTGCTTGTTAACTTCAGTTTTTGTAAAAGTAATATAAAGATTGCTCCAGACAAGTTTTGACAGCTCACCATACTTTCGTGAAAGGCAGCCTCAGCTGCAGTTCAGACTTATGCATATTTTGAAATGAGTACTATAAGACAAGCTGAAAATGAAATTAAAAACTCCAGGGAGCAGTTTCCACAGATGTATTTTCCTCAAAGCTCCCCACTTCCAGTTTTCTAAGTAATGGAAACTTAGTGGTATCAATTGTGTTTCTTTCACAAGCAGTACCACAAATAATTACAAAAACAAAATGAAAAATATGTGCAGTGGGGCAAATTGGACATTGAAAAGTAAGCTTATAAACTCATTCAAAATCTCATTGCTCCTCTAAGTCTTCTGCACGTAGCTTAAAAATACATTTCCCCAATCACAACAGTTCTGTGCTTCCAACCAGCATGATGTCAACAAAGCTGCCGGGTAGCAGAGTCAATGCTTTTGCCTGAGGGAGATTGCTCATTAAGCTGCAGTCAGAGGCCTTGCTTCTTATCATTGGGACAAAATAAACATTCCAAGAAACATTCCCTTTTCTGACTGTCTCGGCTTCCATCCCATTGTTTTATCATAAATAATTGTAGGACCGGTAAAGCTAATTGTTAATTATCAGAACCTCCCATTTGGATAACCTCTTTATTGAAGATTGGGGCTAATGGTATTGGGTTCACTGAACTTAGAACTTCCCAAGTTCTAGATTCAGTAGGCATCCCATGTTCTTGGTGATCTTTACTGTGGGAGCTGGTAATTTGTTCACATACAATACCAAGTTATTTTTTGGTTTTCCAAATTTAACTATTGGAATTTGTAAATCATGGTTAATGATTAAGATGTAGGGGGGGGAGTTATGTAAGGGACTGGTTGTTTCTATCTGTCCCACCTAGTCTGACAGGAGGGGCACACCCTGGATCCCCTCAACTAAAAAATGCCATCTGTTGGGACATTGGAAGCAGGCTTTTTCTACAGCAGCCCCTGCCCTCTGGAACACCATACTCTTTGTGGTTGAATTGATCCTGACCCTGCTGGCCTTTCTCAAAGCACTGACGACCCAGATACAGTATGCTTCAGGGTTTGGGGATTAGATGGTCTGTGAGATGCGATGTTCTTGTGCTATTAAGTTCTTATGGGGTTTGTTCTCAACCCTCGTTGGTATTTTTTTAATATCTTGTTGATTCTGTTTTTGCATTGTTTTAATGTTTTTATTCTGCATCTTGCAACTGCAGTTTTAAATTGATTTATAATACATACATACATACATGCACACATATATACATACAGTATATACAGTATATACATGTACAGGACTACCTGTAAACTACCTAGAAGTTCTACCAACCTATGATATGGAGGGATCATTTTACAGAATTTTCGTACTACCAGGAAGCTTGTTTATGGAATCGATGAAACTTCCTTTAAATAAGTTACAGATTGCTCTTTAAGCATGATTACCTGGAGTTTTACAAGCTCAAAATGAAGTGGAAATTCCATTTTGATTGGAAGGCATGGTTTATTTTGTTTTTCAATCATGCTCCTAATTTGACCTATTCTGGGTTAAAAAAAAAAAAACTTCCTTCACATGTGCATGCAATATTTTGCTCTCTAGATAAAGCAATAGCACTTAGACTTATATACCGTGTCATAGTTCTTTGCAGACCTCTGTAAGCAATTTACAGAGTCAGCATATTGCCCCCAACAATCTGGGTTTTTTTACCAACTTCGGAAGGATGGAAGGCTTGAGTCAACCTTGAGCTGGTGAGGATCGAACCCCTGGCAGTCAGCAGAGTTAGCCTACATTCTAACCACTGCCCACCAGGGCTCAATAAAATTCAGCCCAAAATGTAGGTAAAAACGCAACTCTGAAAGAAGTTTGCCTTTCTTCCCAGGCTGTATAGAAAATGGCTCTGAAGAGCTAGTGTGCTGTTTCTAGTTGAAAGCTTTTCCTTCTGCAGCTTTTATTTCTATAATCTAATAGTATAGCCAACATATACTCCCAGATACATAGTCATCGTTCATGTGCACATTTTGTGAAACTAAATTTGCAAAATTTAGAAAAGAAACAGTAATTTGTTAAACTATGTTTGTGATCCCTTTCCTGGAAACTGTTGTAAGTTTGCCTTTGAAATAGATTGTTCACTTCACCAAGGAAATGTGCTTTCTCCATCATGCCCCCTACATCTGGAATAGCCTCCTCTCCCTTCCCCCAGTACAGTAACTTCCCTTTGGGGATTCTAGAAAGCTGTTAAAACCTAGCTTTGGCTCCAGGCCTGGAATTCATGTATTGGTGTAATTCGGGAGGGGGCGGAGGGCTGTTGTGATATGTGTTCCTTTTAAGATTATTTTAGTCCAGTCTGTGTAGTTTTATGTTTTAATTGTTTTATTGGGATTTTTTGGTTTTGTATGCCACCCAGTCTCCTTTGGAGTTGAGTGACTATAACAAATAAATAAATAATAAATAATACCGACGTGTACACAAAACACCTCTTGACCCACATAATTTTTGCTCTGCTTTCAGTTCAGTCTTTTGAGTTGCATAGGTAAAATCTGAGCGATGTGTGAAACCTGTGAAATTCTACTTACAGGTTATTAAATATTTAGATTGTTTTCTAGGGTTTTTTTTTCAGTATTCTTTTTTCTTGACCAATTTCTAGGTATTAATCAAAGCACAGTTTTCTCCTGTGAAGCCCATAACATAAAGGGATTATCTTCATCTCGGACGGCCATTGTACGGATTAAAGGTGAGAAATCGGTTCCTATCCTTCCACAGATGGAAACATAGAAAAGAGACGCACTCCCTCACAGGAAAAGGGAAAAAGTAATGTAAACCAGAGCTCCCCAACCTTTTTGGCTTGGTGGCCCGGAGGGAAAGGGAGGAGTAGGGAAATGTGTGTGCGTGCATGTGCGCAAACAGGCGCATGCACAGCAGCACTGCTAGCATCTGCGTGCATGCGCAAGTGGGCTGTGTGCACCTGCAGTGGTGCTGGTGGCAGCACGCGCCTGCCACTAGCACCTGTGCACATGCGCAAATGGCTGCTAGCATGTGTGGCATCACTAGCACTTGCCAGCCATTCCTGCAGTCCAGTGGCCATCAGGCCGCAGACCAGTACTGGGCCGCAGACCACAGGTTGGAGACCTCTGATCTAAACTACTAAAAAAACAATAGTTTGTTTTCCTCCACCTTTTAAAACTGCTACACACAACTCTCACACGTGACTTCTTAGCTGACTCTTTATGCTCTCAACAGATTAAATAAAATTCAGAAAAATTATTTGCTATTTTTTTATGCAGGCTCATCCCTTTAGCAGGAAAATTTGCTGATAAAAATATACCACCAGCAGCTCAAGAAAGGAATGAGATACAAGGGAACAAACCTTGTTTTAGCTTAGGAAGTTTAGGGCTAGGGCATCAAAGGTCTTTCTAGAAGGAAAAGGGTGCTGTAACTATAGACATCAGGTATAAAAATGTAAGATGATGGAATATGAGTCAGGATGTCACAGCACAAACTCCAGTCTTTTGTTCTGTGGTTGGTGTCACAACAGTGCAATGCATGCTTCATCATTAGTCTCTCCTATGGATGCCTGTGATCATGACATTGTCTACAATGTGTAAATGAGAACAGCATCCTTTTTGGCAGACATACTGTAGATTTGGTGCTTTGGCAGCCAAAATGTCTCCCATCATCCTTTTGCTCAAATGAACTGGCTTTTCATGAGCTATTGAAAGCCGAAGGATGCGAGCTACTGCTTGGAACAATTACATTTCAGGAAAATATTGCTTTTATGTCTTTCTATACTTCGCAGCACTAAACTTTCATTTAAAGTATTAACAAGGTTTTGCTTCTAAAGTAAGTAATTCTTTTTCTCCTCCCAGTTTGTTCTCTTATTTAACAAGAAACTAAATGTGTAGGCTAAGAATAATTACTACTTTTGTAGGGCAGGGAAATGTAACTGGGGCTTGGTTAACTGCATTCCTTGTTATGCAAAATAGAATATATAAGAATATATTGCTAGGAATGAGTCTTATTGAAGTTTTTAATGAACTGAATACAGCTAAACTTAGAAGAAAAAAGGTCCAGAAGGTGCAGAAAAAAAAGAAAACAAAAAGGCACGAATAAAGATGCTTCCAAACTTCATCTCATTGTCCATAAGCTGATTTTTATTAACTTTTCATCCTTTTTTAATGTTACATATAAAAATCTGTTCTCTCCATAACCTAACTTTTATCGATATGCAATCCTGAAATCATCTTTTTATTCTCAGTTTAGCAAAAAGTTCATTAGAAGTCAACAGAAATACCAAACAAATAGCTTATCCCTGGTCAAATAGTCCAACTTTATATTCCTTCTTTTTGCTCTACTCGGTTTAAATTGACCTTCAAATCATCCCTACAGCAACCTACTTTGTAAATCCCAAAAAAAGACATTGTCCAAAATTTCTTATTGCATCTGCCCCATGTCCAGATCCTGATTTGTCTTTTGTATTCTCATATTGGCCATCTCAATTTTTTTGTCTTCCATGTTTTCAAACTTTATATTGCCTATGCAAGTTTTTAAAAAGGTTTTTCTCATCATCTTTCAAAAGTTTATCATTGAAATATATGTTTCTCCTGGGATCAATTATTAATATTTCAATCTATGTTTTTTAAAAAACTCTTTAAAATAAGAAAAAAGATCTAGCCTGCTTATTTATTTATTTATTTATAAAATTTATTTATAAAATTTATATGCCGCCCAATCCCTAGGGATTCAGGGCGGCGTACAAAATTAAAACAATAAATATAACAATAAAAATGAGTGCATTCATACAGCATGTCCCAATTGTATCCCGGCCCCCCCGGGGACATCAACCCCAGGCCTGCCGGAACAGGAGAGTTTTAATGGCTTTCTTGAAGGCCGGCAAGGTGGGAGTAGTTCGAATCTCAGGGGGAAGTTGATTCCACCACGTCGGAGCCACCACAGAAAAGGCCCTTCCCCGAGGGCCCGCCAGCCGACATTGTCTGGCCGACGGGACCTGAAGGAGGCCCAATCTATGGGACCTCACCAGTCTCTGGGAACTGTGCGCCAGTATGCGGTCCTGTAAGTAACCTGGCCCTATGCCATGAAGGGCTTTAAAGGTGATAACCAACACCTTGAATTGCATCCGGAGACCCACAGGAAGCCAGTGCAGCTCACGGAGGATAGGTGACACGTGAGTGTACCTTGGTGCACCCACAATCGCTCTCACGGCTGCATTCTGAACCAACTGCAGCCTCCGAACGCTCTTCAAGGGTAGCCCCATGTAGAGCACATTACAGTAATCCAGTCTTGAGGTGACAAGGGCATGAGTAACCATGAGTAGAGCCTCCCGGTCCAAATAAGGCCGTAACTGGTGCACCAGGCGAACCTGGGCAAAGGTCCCCCTGGCCACAGCCGATAGATGTTGTTCCAAATTTAGCTGTGAGTCCAGGAGGACACCCAAGCCTGCACTGAGGGAGGTAAATTTACCCCCCCCCCCAGGACTAATGATGGACCATCAGAATGACCCTTGGGGGGCAAGACCCAGAGCCACTCGGTCTTGTCAGGGTTGAGTCTAAGCCTTTTACAGTTTACCCATTTTAACTCTTTTCTGCCTAATTCTTTAGTTCCATCTAGTGTTCATTGGCAACCTTCATCAAACTTCAATTCCCAATATGGGTTTAGTTCTGTTTTAGTCATTTCCCACAAGTATATTATTTAATAATACACTTGTTTTTCAAATCTTACAGATAAAATAACCAATAATGCAAATATCTCTAGTCTCCCTAACAGTTTAAAACTTTTTAAAATCAAAACCTCTTTTTGGCTTTTTGCCAATTTTATTTTACTTTAAATCCTTATGACTGTTTCAGATTTCTTAAATCCAAAGAAAATGATAAAACTCACCAGGTATCACATTAAACTCACCATTTTGAAGGCCTCTAATTTCCTTATAGTGGTTAACATTTCCAAATATGATTTAAAAATGAGTAACTGCCTTAGTGTCCTTAAAGGCTCTGCCACCACTGGGAGCTAAGATGTTGTCTTCCTTGGCACAAAGCACATAAACCTGTGGGAGATCATTGTTTGAGGGGTCTTTGGTGCTCTCTGAGCTTGGTTGTTTTCTAGCAGATATTTTATTTTCCAAACTAGGTAACATCATGTTACCTAGTTTGGGTAATGAAATGTCTGCAAGAAATTAAGCTAAGAGAGCACCAAGGACCCCTCATATCAACCCTGAGCTACAAATATTCTCCTTTATTAGATCATTGTTTTTTGGTCTCCATATGAGGAGTTGCCATTCAATAAACTCCTGGGCGATCTCCTGATCTCCCCTTTTCCAGAGAGATTTGAAGAACTGGTCTATCACTGGTCTTTCATTCTTCACAGCGGGTTTCATCTCTACTCATTTGTGGATTTCAATCAGCCATGACTCAAACCAGAAGCCAAAAGAGTGGATTCTTTTCCAAAGGATCATGTTTGAAAACCATAGCTATCTTGTACAGACCTTGATCCATGATGGGGAATGTAATGTCCAGTGAAGGAATATGTCAAGGAATATGATTGCTTCAGTATTTTTTTTACAAGAATACACAACCATTTTAAATTGGTGAACACATTTAGAATCTAGAGAGCATGTTCTGGCTACTCGACAAAATGACCATTGTAACCTTGCTTAATCATGAAATGACTGTTGTGGGAGAAGCCGGTCACAAAGCAGTCTTTTATGCAGTCATCCACTATTTTTATATGGGTGATGCTGAAAGCTGGCATTTTGATTTATAGTGCATCACCTTCAGATAGATAGATAGATAGATAGATAGATAGATAGATAGATAGATAGATAGATAGATAGATAGATAGACAGACAGACAGACAGACAGACAGACAGACAGACAGACAGACAGGAAGCTGGAGGTACCATAGATATTACATTGTTTTTACAAGACTGCTTTGAGTGCACAGATTGGGGCATATTTAAGGAAGCAGTTACTGATAACTGGAAAAACAAAGAGATCATTGTTGATTTCAGAAAAGGCAGGCACAGCCACACTTCTCTGTGCATTAATGAGTCACCTGTGAAGATGGTTACTAGCATCAAATTCCTGGGTGTGCAGCTAATGAGTAGGCTGATTTGGTCGCTCAACAGTGAGAAACTGGTGAAGCGGGCATAGCAACACCTGCATTTTCTGCGTCACATGAGAAAAGCACATCTTCCTTCCCCTGTCCTGACCACTTTCTACAGGGGGACGATCGAGAGCATCCTGTCATACAGCATCACAGTCTGGTTTGGAAGCATCACTGCTTCAGACAGGAAGGCAGTGCAGAAAGTGGTGAGAATGGCCGAAAAGATCATTGGCAGTTCCCTCCCTCCCATCCAGGACATAGCACAGAAGCATTGCTTGAACAGGGTCCGTAAGATTATCTGGTACACTACACATCCTCTTCACGACCTGTTTTCCTTGTTACCTTCTGGGAAGAGGCTTTGTGGTATCTGTAGCAGAACATCCAGACTCAGCCAGAGTTTCATTCCATACAGCATTAACCTTGTGAACTCTCAAGCTTCCTCTTTCCGTTATATATCCAAGATGGACAGTATTTAATATTTATTTGCTATGTATATGTAGGGGTATGGGTCTATACATATGTTGTTCATAGTATGTTTAGGTGTGTGTCATGTATGTGTTTCACTTTGCAAGTGGGCAACTAAATTTCATTTTTGATGTATGCCGTTGTGCCCACAGT